GAGGTTGCACTGAGTTGAGATTGCGCCACTGCACTCCAGGCTGGGTGACAGAGCGAAACTCCATCTCCAAAAAAAAAAAAAGCTCCCAAGCAGTCCAGGTATTTAAGTGATTGACTCTGTTGAAAGATAATTCTCCAGCCATCATCCGTTCCCACTGGCAGCTTCCCCATGCTTTACAACAGGCTCCATCTTCACTCACACATATTCATGCACTTCCATTCCAAGTAACTAAAAGAAAGTCAGTTACCTTCTCCACAGCTCCACCTGGCCGAAAGCCAGCGACAGTCACTTTGACAGAAGTGGCCTGGACTCCCGGGTCCAGATCGCATGGATCATTGGCTCTGCCAGTCAGGTTCACTGTCTCTGAGCCACTGGGCCTGGCCTCAGCCTCAGATCTCTTGCAGTGGGGGCTGACCCTGGCCACTGGTCTGTGCCTGGAGCCCAGGCCTTCATTCTTCTGCTGGGGGGACCCGGGGCTCCCAGTGTTCATCGGACTCCGGGTGTCGGTATGGACTGTGTATTCCAATTTGGGTGCAGAACTTGATCCTGTCAGTTCCTTCTTCCACCAGCTTCCAGGGCTCCCCTTGGGGGCCCCTGCAGAGGCCGTGAGGTTGGCTGCATGGGAAGGAGTGTCCGCCATGCCCTCTGGGATATTCTCCTCTAAGTCCACTGAGCTGCCAAGAAGAGGCGCCGAAATGGCCTTGCTGACCAGTGTTTTCTGGGGTCGTCCCTCTTGGTTGTGGACGTCCATGCCCTTGGAAGAGGAAATTAAGACACACCTCGAGTTATCCTCTGCCAGAGGCCTGCTGGGAGCCGGGAGGGCTCCTGGGAGTGAAATGCAGTCCCCTTCTCCATCAAACTCTTCCTCATCACTGGCATCGTTGGCATCGTAGCAGCCTACCTTCCTCTGGCGGAGGAGAGGGTTTCGGAGGGCCTGTGGGCTTCCGGGAAGACTGGTTTGTCTGGCAACTGTCACCTGCTTGTGGAAGAGCCCAGAGGCCCGCTGGCTCCCGAGAGTCACGAGGCTGTTGGCTCTGGCTTTTCCAGGCTCCTTGTGAGCTGCCGGAGGTGGGGACAGAAAAGTCAAGTGAACTTCCTGCTTGGCCCTGTCTTACCATCTGACCCCATCGTTACACATAAGCATGTCCACATTCACTGACACCAGATACACAACCTCAGCCACTGGACTCAAGGCCTGGGCAACATGGCTTCCTGGAGGCTACACGGAGTGGATAGCCTGGCCGTCTTTCTCTTTTCCCTAGTGACCTACCCCCAACCCCTTTTCTTAAATCCCAGCCCCTGGATTAACTCAAACATGTGTGCTGTCGGAAGACAGAAACTTAGTTCTTTCACCCCCATGATATCTAACACATTGTTAGGGTTTAACCTAAATGCTGCTGAGAATTCCTCCATAGGAGGATACCCGGGGAATGATGACATGTCCCACACACCTGGGCTGCCTTCTTGGCCCCTTGAGGTCCTTCCTTCATCTGCAGAAAGGGAGGCTTGACAGGCACGGGAGCGCTTGCAGTGTGGTACAGCGAAGCCTGAACTATCCTATGTCTCAAAGCTACTCTAGAACAATGCCAATCTGAATCTGCAATGATTTTTATATCTTGTTAAATGTAGTGAAAAACTACACGTTTGCACCTTGAAAGGTTTCTGTAAGAACAGAGCAAGCTCATCGACAGCTCTGAATGAGCCAGAGTGGTCGTCGCCTGCCTCTCCTAAAACAAGGGGATTTTCTTCTTCAGATGTTAGAAATTAAGAGGAAACCTCACCAGCAGGAAGAAGTCTGAGAAATCGGTATGGATCATATCAGATTATCATCTCATATTATCTTGAATAGATATACCAATGAAATTTAAAAAAAAAAACAAAACCTTTTGCTAATATGTCTCTTTTGAGTTCTTAATCTTTAATTTACAGCCTTCTACCAAGAATGGAAGCTAGGGCCTGGTGAGGGAAGGGACCTGGAATTTGGCTGAATTCCCTAAAATGTAAGGGCATCAGGTTGCCCACTCTGATTTGATGCCATAAAATTCAAGACTACATTATGTAAATGCCATTGGATGGACGTTTGGTTTAGCCACCACCCACCTGGCTATAGAATGTGCATCCAGCCTGTTTAGTGAGTAACTGAGTGGCCAGTCACTAACAGGGGCTGCATTTTCCAAGAGTAAACTCTCAGGGTACAGCATTGTCTAATGGCGCGATCTCAGCTAACTGCAACCTCGGCCTCCCAGGTTCAAGTGATCTCCCTCCTCAGCCTCCCGAGTAGCTAGGATTACAGGCACATGCCACCAGGCCCAGCTAATTTTTGTATTTTTACTAGAGATGCGGTTTCACTATGTTGGCCAGACTGGTTTTGAACTCCTGACCTCAGGTGATCCCCTTGCCTCAGCCTCCCCAAGTGCTAGGATTACAGGTGTGAGCCACTGTGCCTGGCCTGGTCTCCAGCTCTTTTCTCATTTTACAGCACCAGGGTAGTTAAACCATTGTAGCCGCCAGCATAGAGGTGGAAACCAGTCACTGCAGACTGGAACGCAGAGCCCAGGCCCTCTGGGGCGTCCCTGCTTACTAGAGGTGCTAGGAGGCAGGCTGCCCTCCTCCGACGTGCTGCAGCCACTTCCTGGGTGATCCTCGTCCTCAGAACCGGCCACCATGAAGTCGGACAAGGGGCCAGGGACATCGTGGGCAAAGTACTGGGAGAGTTCAGATTCAGAAATAAGGGAGTCCTGTTGAAGAAGAAAACATCCGATGACTAAGAAAATGCAGCAGAAGCAGATTTTCAAGGGTTATTACGTCCTATCTTTCCAAGAACACTCTGTTCTAATCCATGGTCACTTGAAATAGCTGTGATAGTAAACACTCACCTCCATTTACTTAGGATGGCTAAATGGACAACTAATGAATAAGAAGGTGACTGGTGCCAGACCATGTTTCTAGAGACTTTTTCTTTTTGGCTGAATTTTTGGCAATAATCGGAAAAGCCGCAGCAGCAGCACATCAGCCATCCCAGGAAAAACACTGGGGGGATGTGATGGGAAAGCCAAATGGGATTCAAGCCAACCAGTCTAGTCAAGTGGTAAGCAAAAACCAGGGGAGTCTGAATCCTGCACCCCGATGCACTGAGACTCAGCAAAAGCCTAGCTGAGGAAGATCCCACGGCCTCCTTAAAGCCCCGACTCACGCTGCTTTATTATGGAGCAGTTTGACAAGTTATTTTGCAAACTGTAGTTCAGTTCTTTTATTTTGTTGCTCTATTCTTTTCCTGGATAAGTGTTTAACAAAAGAAACACACGTTTGCATCTATTCTCAAATGAGCATTGTTGTGTTTTCCTGTATAAAGTGGTAAAAATGACTCATGGGCAGAAACAGGGACTGGGCCCTCCAGCTTGACTTGTGGGCTCCAGGAATTGATTTGTAGTCCAGCTGAGGGAGGCACGTAGCAGTTCACCTTGACTCACCTTTTTTGCAAGAGAGGGACTCTTCAAGGGGGTACCTGTTGGAGGGAAAAGTCACCATATTGTCAAAACAATAAAGCTCAAGTCACAAATAGGCTTACATCCTTAACTAGAAAAGGAGGTAGCAAACACAGTAAACCAAAGTCCCTTTGCTTGATGATGGGCTGCATGCACTGGGGTAGACGTGCATGCAGTCTGCCTGGGTACCTGATCCTCATCCCCATCCCATCTGCCATGATGCTTCAAGCCCTAACTCAGATGCTACTACCTGTATGATGATCCCAGTTAGAAGCAATTTCTTCTGAATTTCCTAAGTGTTTTATCCTACCCACACATCACCTTTCATATACATCATCTAATGTATGAGTGGATGTGTCTTGTATCCCTCCTTAAATCTACAGAGCAGGAATGTTGACTGATCTGACCCCACGGAGATGGACATTTATTTATTTTGAGATGGAGTTGCACTCTTGCTGCCCAGGCTGGACTGCAATGGCATGATCTCGGCTCACTGCAACCTCCGCCTCCCGGGTTCAAGCAATTCTCCTGTCTCAGCCTCCTGAGTAGCTGGGATTACAGGCATGTGCCACCACACCTGGCTACTTTTGTATTTTTAGCAGAGATGGGGTTTCTCCATGTTGGCCAGGCTGGTCTCAAACTCCAGACCTCAGGTGATCCGCCCACCTTGGCCTCCCAAAGTGCCACGATTATAGGCGTGAGCCATGGCGCCTGGCCAGAGCTGGACATTGTACTTCGTATCTACTAAGTGTTCGGTGATAATTGCTGAATGGATTGAAGGATGAATTAACAAATGAACACCCAAGAAACTCATGAAAGAATTGAGGAGATGACTGAGTATCTATTTTAGTTTTTTTTTTTTTTTTTTGAGACAGAGTCTTTCTCTGTCCCCCACAGGCTGGAGTGCAGTGGCGCCATCTCAGCTCACTGCAAGCTCCGCCTCCCGGGTTCATGCCATTCTCCTGCCTCAGCCTCCCCAGTAGCTGGGACTGCAGGCGCCCGCCACCTCGCCCGGCTAGTTTTTTGTAGTTTTAGTAGAGACGGGGTTTCACCATGTTAGCCAGGATGGTCTCGATCTCCTGACCTCATGATCCGCCCGCCTCGGCCTCCCAAAGTGCTGGGATTACAGGCTTGAGCCACCATGCCCGGCCCTATTTTAGTTTTTAACTGCAGTGTGAAAAGGCTCAGGATTTAAACTATATGCCATGAAGCAAAAAGGACTTTGGGCATGAGGATTACGGCTTAATAAACTTTTATAAATGATCAAGTGGAAATGCTGGGATTATGACAGCACAGCTCTTAGGCAGGTCGGGATGACAAACTGGTGGAATAAAGAGCCTAAGACGGCTGTGTCTACTTCAAATATATTAATTACGAATGTAAATAATCAGGGTATTTCATGATTGCCAAAAAACCCTACGCTTTTCCTTTTCCTCTGACAACTAAAAACTTGTGGCTCAGTTCCTTTTCCTCCCAGGTAGCAATCTGAACATCAGTATAATCTCAAGCTCAGAAATGTGTGAAGAGTCCCTTTAGGCTTCTATGCTAAAGGAAACTTTATTTTTAAGACTTGATACAATGTTTCATACTTTAAATTCATATGAAATTCCTACTATCTCAAGCCTTCTCTGCCTGAATTTTTCCACTTAAGAGAGAAATCATGATTTTTGCTACCTCTATTACCCTCTTTGAGTGGAAACTTTTTAATTCTTGTAAAGAAATCTCAGGCTTTTTGGTAGATAATACTCTGCATCCACCAAACTACTGACATTCTGGTTATCACTTCCCTTTCATCTTTAGCATTTCAAATGAATCGAGCATAAATACATGAAATGCTTCTAACTTACCTTTGCAAATTATGTGAAAGTACTATAAGAAGCATGCATGATTAGATCTTTAATGAAGCACATTAAATAACTGCAGAAATCAAAAGTAGCAGCCAAGAGAAAGCATAGACTGTCTTTGACAGCTACTTTTGCCAAACCTGGTAATTACAAAAATCCAATAATCCTGCACTGGGGAGTGCCCCATGGGTGAACTTAATGAGAAACTCTTCTGAATGTTGAATGAAAATGTGTGATTACAGTACCTAAGCCAGGAGAGGAATTGGCCTCTTTGCTCTCCTGATAAGTGCTGCGTGCTATCACTTCATCCATTTCCTGCTCGGAAACCTGATTTTCAGCAGAAAGCAAAGATTAGATGGTTTTATTTATTTCTCCCAATAAAAGTACCTAGGACCAGAGTCAGAGTCAAGTGCAGATAAAGAGGCAAACCACAGGACCAAGGATTATGACCATCCTCTGAAGTAGTAGTAACTCAGAGCTTGTAAGAAGCCCAGCAACACACACATAACAAGACTTTCAACTGGTGCCCAAGTTCATTAAGCAAAGCATTCAGTGCTATGATTCCCAATAACACGGCTGAGATCTGCTTCTCTAGAAAACTCACTTCTAATTCTTTTTTTTTTTTTTTTTTTGAGACAGACTCTGTCACCCAGGCTGAAATGCAGTGGCTTGATTTTGGCTTGCTGCAACCTCCAACTCCCAGGTTCAAGTGATTCTCCTGCCTCAGCCTCCCGAGTAGCTGGGACTATAGGCACGCACCACCATGCCCAGCTAATTTTTGTATTTTTAGTAGAGACAGGGTTTCACTGTATTGGTCAGGCTGGTCTTGAACTCCTCACTTTGTGGTCCACCCACCTCGGCCCCCCAAAGTGCTGGGATTACAAGTGTGAGCCACTGTGCCTGGCCTAATTCTTTTTAATTTTTAAACAATTTTAAACCCACATAAAGCAAGAGTAGTATACTTTTCACCTAGAATCACTAATTTTTAACATTTTGCCACATTTACATGCATGCCCTCCCTACATAAACACACACACACACACACACACACAGAATTACAGCTTTTTGCTAAACCATTTGCGAGTAAGCTGCAGACATCATGACCCTTTACCCGTAAATATTTCAGCATGGGTCTGTTAGAAACAAAGACATCCTTTTAAATAACCATAATACTATTATCAAATTCAGGAAATGCAACAATGATGACTGTGTAACATACATTTCATATTCCTGTTTGACTGAACACTGAATACTGACAGTACTTTTCTAATACTGTCCTTTGCAAGTACTACTCAAAGTGTGTCTGTAGTCTGGGACTAGCTCACAGAAAGTTAATGCCAGCCTGTGATGAGATAAGAACTTAACTCCAGAATGCAAATTAGCATACAGCTTCATCAACATCATCATGCTAAGGAAAAAATGTCAGCTGAACTATGTAATAGTGTGCACGGTGACATAATGTTTACATTTTGGTGCAAGTACATCTTGCTATGGACCTGTAGCAGGCTGTCATGGGTCAATTTCTTTGCATAGTGATGTTTTATAAAAAAATTGTTTTTGGCAATCCAGGATCTAGTTGTTGTATGTCTTTAGTCTCCTTTAATCTGAAACAGCCCCTGGATCTTCCTTGGTCTTTCATGACACTGATATCTTGGAAGAAACCAGACCAATCCAAACCTTCAATTAAGATCTGTCTGATAGTTTCCTCATGCTTAGATTCAGATTATGCATTTTTTTTTTTTTTTGGCAGAAAAAGTACAAAAATGATTTCCTTCTCAGTGTATTCAGAGGCACTAAGGGTCAATGTGTCTTATAATTGGTGATAACTTTGATCTCTTGATTAGGGATGGAATTTGCCAGATTTCTCCACTGGAATTTTTTTCAGTCATTAACGAGTAATCTGTGAAGAAATAGTTTGAGACTACATAAATATCCCACTCTTCAATATATTTTTACTCTATGGTTTTAGCATCGACTATTATTGCTTAAATCAATTATGACTATGAAGCTTTCAAAACAGTGCTTCTATAAGTTTTCCATTCCTTCTGTATTTATTAGTATCATGGCAGATTCACGGATGTTTTTCTCAGTTGTTATCCATAACTGTCATTATTCATGGGAGGATTTTTTTTTAAAAACCTGACATATAATGAAATATATTGATTAAAATAATAAGAAAATGTGGAGTTTCTTTTTTAAAGGTAGGAGTATTTAAAACTTTGAATGGTAATGTTATGTACTAAAATAGTATTTGACATAAGCAATGTTTGGATAAGCATAACAATTTGTCTTAATAAATATTTCTATATAGAATTCAGCATATATTTTATCATAACAGTTAAATTATACTGGCATTGTGGCCTTTATGTCATGTTTTATGGTAGGCTTCACAGGAAATAAAATATGTACACATACATGCACTCAGGCATACATACTGAAACACACATCCCCCTCCACATAGTACAGAATAATTTTATATAAATGAGTCAGGGAAAATATCAGCTTAAAGAGTGGTTGCTGTTTTTCTTAATACTAGACTTTTAATATTTGCAATTGATTTTTTTTTGACTAGGAGAAAAACGGACTTCTAATACTTTCTTCCACTTAATGTAAGCTAGAAGCTGCTCTCCCAGCTAGTCTAAATCTCGGCCTGACTAGACCTGGAAGGCTTAAATAACCCAACTGGGCAGCCACCGCTCCAGACATTATGAGAAACAGAAGAAAAGACATCCTTGTGGTATTTATCTTGGAATAACAAGAAAACTAAGCAAGCACATACATTCAGTATCAAAATGTACTACTGGCATGAAATGCTGGGCTAAGTGGTACAAAAATACATTCAACATAAAATGGAATCTTAACCAAAAGATAAATACAGTATGAAGTTACAACTAAGAACACCACGTTTACCTAGGAAGAAACGTGAAATCCGGTCAAACACACACCGGCATGTGGTTTTGCTGGACATACCTCCAACACTATCACAGACGACCATATTACTGTGGCTAGAAACGTGGATGAACCTGCATGGTCAATGGCATGGTGGCCACCAGTCCACCAGGATTATGATGCTTTGCACTGAAATGCCATTTGGATGTTTGATTGTATTGGCAAAATAGGCAGGGTTTTTGGGGCCGAGATGAACTGGACCTCTGAACAAATCGTGACCCATGTTATGCTGTGATTTTGAAGTCAGACATGCCTTGAAGCCAATGACTGCAAACCACTGAAAACTCAGTTTTCTGTAACATTGCTGACGGATGTATTAGGGCAGCCACAGGTTACTGGACTGCTTCCCGAGGTGAAAGGAGGTGATGTGGGTGGTAGCATCCAATGGGAGATTCTGGGGGAAGGAGCTGAGAACTACTTTAGATGGAACCATCAGGCAAAGAGAGTCAGCAGTGAAACAAAAGAGAACAGCAGTGAAACAAAAGAGAACAGATTTTAAGTGAAGGTGTCAGAACCACAGAATAGAAAGGAGAAAAATGGGAAGTGATAAGGAGGAAAAAACATAAAAAGGTGGAAGCAGGACTTGGTTGGTTTGATTGGATTGACTGACTGATTGACTTGAGAGAGAGCCTTGCTCTGTTGTCCAGGCTGCAGTGCGGTGGCATGATCTTAGCTTACTGCAACCTCCACCTCCCAGATTCAAGCGATTCTCCTGCCTCAGCCTCCCAAGTAGCTGGGATTACAGGCACATGCCACCCGGCAATTTTTTGTATCTTTAGTAGAGATGAGGTTTCATCATGTTGGTCTGGGTGGTCTCAAACTCCTGACCTCAAATGATCCACCTGCCTTGTCCTCCCAAAGTGTTGGGATTACACACGTGAGCTACTGCGCTCAGCTGGGACAGACGGATGGGCGGACGGATGGACGGATGTATGTATGTATGTATGTATGTATTTATTTATTTAGACTAAGTCTCGTTCTTGTCCCTCAGGCTGGAGTGCGATGGCGCAATCTCGGCTCACCGCAACCTCCGCCTCCCGGGTTCAAGCAATTCTCCTGCCTCGGCCTCCCGAGTAGCTGGGATTACAGGCGCCTGCCACCAAGCCCAGCTACTTTTATATTTTTAGTAGAGATGGGCTTTTACCCATGTTGGCCAGACTGGTCTATAACTCCTGACCGCAGGTGATCCACCTGCCTCGGCCTCCTAAAGTGCTGGGATTACAGGCATGAGCCACTGCATCCGGCCAAGAGGTAATGTTCTTAATGAACACTTTGATTTTATTTTTTTACTTTTTTGAGACAAAGTCTTGCTCTGTTACCCAGGCTGGTGTATAGTGGTGCGATCCTGGCTCACTGCAACCTGCACCTCCTGGGTTCAAGTGATTCTCATGCCACAGCCTCCTGAGTACCTGGGATTATAGGCAGCCACCAATACACCAGGCTAATTTTTGTATTTTCAGTAGCGACATGGTTTTGCCATGTTGGCCAGGCTGGTCTCAAACCCCCAACCTCAAGTGATTCGCCCACCTTGGCCTCCCAAAGTGCTAGGACTACAGATGTGAGCCACCACACCTGCCCTTAGTGAACATTTTGAGTTGCTGAAAGGAAAAGCTAAATTTTGTTAAATACAACTTAATCACAACATTAGAGATAAGCTAATTTAAAAAGACTTTTACAACAATTACTCAAAAGAATAAAAAATAGTGCTAAAAGTGGATTGAGGCTGGGCGTGGTGGCTCATGCCTGTAATCCCAGCACTTTGGGAGGCCAAGGCGGGTGGATCACTTGAGGTTAGGAGTTTGAGACCAGCTTAGCCAACATGGTGAAACCCCATCTTTACTAAAATTACAAAAGATTAGTTGAGTGTGGCAGCGCCCCGCCTATAATCCCAGGTACTTGGAAGGCTGAGGCAGGAGAATCACTTGAACCTGGGAGGCGGAGGTTGCTGTGAGCCGAGATTGCACCACTGCGCTCCAGCCTGGGCAACCGAGAGAGACCCTGTCTTTAAAAAAAAAAAAAAGAAAAAGTGATTTGAGTTGGTTCCTTCTTTTCCTGTGCGCATCAAAAAACAAACAAAAAAAATTGGGTCGAGTTGAACTTGCTGAAGTGTCCTATGGTTAGCTTCAAAAAGTTAAAGGCAACTGTACAAGTATAGAAGAGATATAACAAGATAACAGCCAAGTCCAACAACGTAGGGACTATGATTATCTGCAAGTTCCATATGGGACAAGAGTGTGACACTGATGCTGAGAAAAAAATTAGTGGGCTCTTAGGCCTTAACTATAGAAGTATTCTGCCCAGGTCAAGGTTGGCTTAGACAGAAGAGGAGCCACTCTTTAAATCTGGTCTTGTCTTTCATCAGTCTAACAACAGTAACATCCTCACACTCTAACAAAACGCTTAACATTCTTGGGGTCATGAATGACTGAGAATTTGATAGAAGCTATTGATTCCGTCCACAATTGCAAATATATTCCCAAATTTGTGTAGTTCGTAATGTCCTGGTAAAGGTCCCGTGAACTTCAGGTTCAGAGCAGGCTGCAAATTTCTTGAGATACGTTCTAATTCATTGTGCAGCCGTGACATGTTGACAGTGCCTGGCACCCAGTGGAACCTCAATACATGTTTAGGTAATGAATTTGATTTAGGATGAGAATAGATGATCTGAATCGCCCTGGCTGGAGGGAGACAGGGAAGGATAGTCCCTCTGTTGATGCCTGGCAGCCTGCCTGCCTGCTTCACAACCTCCACATCCATCCCAATTCACCCCCAGGGCCTCCTTGGCACCTCTGCCTCCTGATCAGTACCAGGTTCACATGGGCTGGTGGTACCCAGGCTAAGCAGCTAACATTAGACTTAAAGGATCTTCCCTCTTTCCTTCCAAGTAAAACTTGTAAGTAAGGAAAAGTCATTTAATAACTCATTCTCAGGCTGGGCGTGGTGGCTCACACCTGTAATCCCATCATCCAGAGGGAGGACCACTTGAGGTCAGGAATTTGAGACCAGCCTGGCCAACATGGTGAAACCCCGTCTCTACTAGAAATGCAAAAACTAGCTGGGCATCATGGTGCACACCTGTAATCCCAGCTACTTGGAAGGCCGAGGCAGGAGAATCACTTCAACCCAGGAGGCAGAGGTTGCAATGAGCCGAGATCACACCCCTGCACTTCAGCCTGGGCTACAGAGCGAGACTCCGTCTCAAATAATAATAATAATAATTAATAATAATGATATTATTATTATTTCATTCTTAACAGAAGACAATATGAGTATCTTTACAATGATAAAATGTAAGGAGCTGCAGTGATACGCTATGTCCTGTTGGCTCAAGGCCCCATGTGGTTCCTCTTATCTCCTATGGAGCCACCTGTATTAGATAAACCAAAGAACTCCCACTTTCAGAATGTGTCTTTAGCAGAACAAGTAAAACCAGTACTAGAAAATGTGAATGTATGTTAAATGTCATGGTCAGGAGAATTTCAATACATATTTATGCTGTTTAGGTAGATTCTAGAACAACTGTGTGAGCAGTTAATGAAAAGGATCCTGGCATGAATTTAAAAATTTAGTCTTGGCCAGGCACGGTGGCTTGCGCCTATAATCCCCACACTTTGCGGGGCCGAGGTGGGCGGATGCCTTGAGCTCAGGAGTTCGAGACCAGCCTGGGCAACACGGTGAAACCCTGTCTCTACCAAAAATATAAAAATTAGCCAGGTGTGTTGGCACATACCCATGGTCCCAGCTACTCTGGAGGCTGAGGTGGGAGGATTGCTGGAACCCGGGAAGTCAAGGTGCAGTAAGCCATGATTGTGCCACTGCACTCCAGCCTGGGTGACAGAGTGAGACCCTGTCCCAAAAAAAAAAAAAAATTTAGTCCTGAGGACTTGGTCTATCAGAAAAATACTATCCTTCATAATTTTGAATAAACTTAACAAATAACTTTTCCATTGTAGTTTATTTGAAATGCTGGGCTTTATTTTTTCCCCAACTTTGATGGAAGCAAAAATCTACAAAGTAACATTTGCAAATAAGCAATTGGTCTGCAAAGCCAGATTTCATCTTATTTTTTTTTTTTTTGAGACGGAGTCTTGCTCTGTCGCCCAGGCTGGAGTGCAGTGGCGCGATCTCCGCTCACTG